TTTTGGGCCTAACAGTAACATTAAAACAGCACCCTATGCAGTGGTGTGAAAAAGAGTTTGCCCCCTTCCTCATTTCCTGTTTTTTCACGTTTGTCACACTTAAGTGTTTCGGAACATCAAACTCATTTAAACAATAGTCAAGTACAACACAAGTAAACACAAAATGCAATTTGTAAATGAAGGTGTTTATTATTAAAGGAGAAAAAAAAATCCAAACCATCATGGCCCTGTGTGAAAAAGTGATTGCCCCCTAAACCTAATAACTGGTTGGGCCACCCTTAGCAGCAACAACTGCAACAAAGGGTTTGCGATAATTTGCAATGAGTCTTTTACAGCATTCTGGAGGAATTTTGGCCCACTCATCTTTGCAGAATTGTTCTAATTCAGTTACATTAGAGGGCTTTCGAGCATGACCTGCCTTTTTAGGGTCATACCACAACATCTCAATAGGATTCAGGTCAGGACTTTGGCTAGGCCACTCCAAAGTCTTCATTTTGTTTTTCTTCAGCCATTCAGTGGTTGACTTGCTGATGTGTTTAGGATCTTTGTCCTGCTTCAGAACCCAAGTTCGTTTCAGCTTGAGTTCACAAACAGATGGTCGGACATTCTCCTTCAGGATCTTTTGGTAGACAACAGAATTCATAGTTCTATTTATCACAGCAAGTCTACCAGGTCCTGATGCAGCAAAACAGCCCCAGACCATTACACTACCACAACCATATTTTACTGTTGGTATAATGTTCTTTTTCTGAAATGCAGTGTTCCTTTAATGCCAGATGTAATGGGACAAATACCTTACAAAGAGTTCTACTAATGTCTCATCGGTCCACAGAATGTTTTCCCAAAAGTCTTGGGGATCATCAAGATGTGTTTTGGAAAAATTGAGACGAGCTTTAATGTTCTTTGTGCTCAGCAGTGGTTTTCTTCTTGGAACTCTGCCATGCAGGCCATTTGTGCCCAGTCTTTTTCTGATGGTGGAGGCATGAACGCTGACCTTAACTGAGGTAAGTGAGGCCTGCAGTTCTTTGGACGTTGTTGTGGGGTCTTTTGTGACCTCTTGGATGAGTGGTTGCTGTGCTCTTGGGGTAATTTTGGGCGGCCGGCCACTCCCTGGAAAGGTGCACCACTGTTCCATGTCTTCACCATTTGTGGATAATGGCTGTCACTTTGGTTTGCTGGATTCCCAAAGTTTTGAAAATGGCTTTTTAACCCTTTCCAGACTGATAGATTTTAATTACTTTCTTTCTCAATTGTTCCTGAATTTCTTTGAAACTTTGGCATGATGGGTAGCTTTTAAGGATATCTTCGTGGACTTTATTGTGTCAGGCAGCTCCTATTTAAGTGATGTCTTGATTGAAAATAGGTGTGGCAATAATCAGGCCTGGGTGTGGCCAGAGAAATTGAACTCAGTGGTTAAAAACCACAGTTATAGTATATTTTAATGAGGGGGCCAATCACTTTTTCACACAGGGCCATGATGGTTTGGATTTTTTTTCTCCTTTAATAATAAACACCTTCATTTACAAATTGCATTTTGTGTTTACTTGTGTTGTACTTGACTATTGTTTACATTGCTTTGATGTTCTGAAACACTTAAGTGTGACAAACATGCAAAAAAACAGGAAATGAGGAAGGGGGCAAACATTTTTTCACACCGCTGTATATGTAATTTATACTGTTTCTTTTTTGTTTTTTTAAGTTGATTCTAGGGTGAGTTACATTGTAGCTGTTGGGTATAAATTGGTCCTCTGGATAATAAACAACAATTCTAAGTAAACAAATCAGACAGTTTAGGAAAAACAAGGATATTATTTTAATTGACTGCCTCCAGTTAAAAAGACAACAAAGGTAAAAAGTTTCGTATGAGCAAGGCTACCTTGACCTGAATCAAATGCACCTCTTCTGTAGAAAGAATATCTTTGAACAGAAATTCTGGGTAACAACAGAGAGCAGCTGGTGAAAAAGTTTGCAAAACTTTGAATCTGTTTAAACAGTTCAAGTTCCAACTAATAGTAGGAAATATTATGTATACTTATGGCTTTATAGAAAGCAAGAAACAACTCTTGAATTTCATCATTCCAGCAGACTGTAATTTTACTGTAATGTTATATTTTCCCCATTTGTGTGTCTTCCAAAGTCAAAGAGATTCTCAACACAATGTACAGCTGAAATATTTGTGCCCTTCTGTATAAAATATATTTATCTTTTAGGCAGTATATGGTCTAACACATAACACAAGATAGAAAGAAATTAGCAGCAGGGTGTTTTCAGGGTGTTTTTTAAATTCATCATGAAAGCTTTCCGTTTTTATCTGAATACCACCTACCTCAGTTCTCAGAATCAGATATAGATAGCGATGTTACTTCCTTTTATCAAACTGGTGCAGCAGTGTTGATGGAAATAAAGATGAAAATACATCCTCACTGACATATTATTAAGTTATGTAATAATAAAGCTTGGGCAAAGGCAGCAGTTTTGACTGGGCCCCCCTTATGTTAACATAAAAGTTCTCAGGCCCCTCTTAATTACCCTCTGCTCTACAACCTTTTCAAAAACGGAATGCAAAAAGCTACTGCAGTAAATTACTTATGGCAATCAATGTCATAAAAATTACAAATAAATTATGAAAAGTAATTTTGTTAAGTTTAACTATTTGAGCCATCTGTAAAACTAGTTAACGGCTACCTTTTATAAATCTGCTTCTTTCTGTATGTCTGCTTTGGTCTCTGCGAACCCCAGTCAGCCTCACACTGAGCCTGGTTCTGCTGGAGGTTTCTTTCTGTGAAATGGTAGTTCTTCCTCTCTGCTGTGGCGACATGCACGCTTAGTGTTGTTTGGTCATTGCTGAAGAGTCAATGACAAAATGCAAGCACAATTTCAGGAGGATCATTTGCTGCAAATCATTGAATCAATGCAATCAACTGGTTTTCTTGGAAAGTTTTAACCGATGTGACTGTAATGACTCTCTAAATTGCCTCAAGAGGGTATGTGTTCCAAATTCAAGAATCCAGATATATTTTGCAGAAAATAAGATAGCAGTTTCCATTCCGCTCTGTGGAACTATGTGGGCTGTTGTGTATTAAGATTGAACTGGAGTGCGTGTCTGATATCAAGATAAGTACAATTTCATAGAAATATAGAAAGCATATTGACGTAATTCAAAATGTTACAGTCTGCTACTAGTGATGTTCCAGCTCATGCTAAACTCTTATCAGTTCACATCTTAGACTACAGACATTGATTTGAAAAAAAAAAAAAAAAAACTAGACAGAAACCAGCAGTTCTATAATGTTCTTGCAGACTGCCTCAAAACTGATGTCTTCTAAAGAGGTTACAGTATGGCTGTCTTCTATTGGTCCCCTGGGATAACCCAAAACAAAACATTAGAAAGGACAGATGTATTTCGGTCCTACTTCAGAGGGGGAAAAAAAACAAAAGGTTAAGTAGAAGACAACAAATAGTCCAAACAAACACTTAGTAAACCATGATGAACCTCACTATGTTTCTCCCAGTAATAACAGAGTGGATCCGAGCCCATGTCATGTTCTTTTTAAAGGATCTGACCCACATGCAGGAAACCACTCAGAGAACCAGAGAAAAGATTTAACAGGTTTATTGAAAGCACAATGAGTTGGATAGCTGGTGAACCAGGACCTGAAAGTGTGAAGGGAAGTTCAGGCTCAGTGGGAAACTTGAACGACGACCTGCAAAAACAAAAACTGAAACGGGACTCACGTTTCAAGAAAAAGGTGTTCTTTCCAGAATCCAGCCGGTGTGGGTTGTTCCAGAACTTGGTTGACTAGTTGGAGGGCGGACAGGGTTTACTCAGGTTAGGTTGGTTCCTTGAGGAGCGATGGAGCTGACTGCCACTTAAATTTCCTGAAGGACTTGAACGGTTCCTGTGGAGATTTATCCCCTGCTCAGTGTGAAGCTCAAACAATCCTCTCAGGGGGAGAAGGTCCAAACATCCAGGTTGCATCCCCTGCTCAGTGTGAAACTCAAACGATCCTTCCAGGGGGAGAAGGCCAAAACATCCAGTTTGCAGGATGACTTCCTGCAGAGAGGCAAAGACAAAAACAACAAGGTTAGGGCTCAGGGAGACAAAGACTCTGCTAAACTCAGCTTGGCTAGAGTACCTAAAACTGGCAAACACTCTGGCGTCGAGGTAGTGGCAGTCAGCAGCTTAAGAGTCCTCAGGTAATGAACCAACCATCCGCAGGTGTGTGGAAGGGCCAACGAGAACCGGGCACCACCTGGTGGTGGAGGGAGAAAACACAAACACACAACCCACACAAACTGGATTCCTAACAGCTCACAGTAGTTAGACATATCACTAGGGTTGCCACCCATCCCTTGAAATAAGTAATCGGCCCGTATTTGGTAGTTAAATTATGCGTCCCGTATTGAATTGATAAGGGACGCTATTTGTTCCATATTTTCACAAAAAACTCCACTCTGTAATCTCACTTCTTAGGGCGTTTGTCATGGTTTCATGATGACGGTCCTCATGTTTAATTCTAGTTCTACAAACTGTGCACCTGCACATGCCAACTCGAAGTATCTATCTCAATAATAATAATAATAATTTCAGGGTTTGAATCTACTTTTGTGGTAAACCTGCCTGTAGAAATCATAAAGACTTTTTGATATGAAAGAACAAAGTTAAAATTTCAAGGGGAAAAAAGTTCAACATTATTAACATGGGCACTGTTTAGTGTCCCTGCAGTAATTATTTTTAAGACAAGCTCAAAGTGTTAGTGCAGCTAAAAAAAAACCTAACTTGCTAAATGTTTCCTGACAAAACAAATAAGGATCATTGAACAGTTTCCGACATGAGGGCGGATATAACACAAATCTGTCAAATGTCAAATTTTTCACAAGAAGTGTTGCAATACATTTAATTCCTCTTGCTGTAACACCTATTTGTCAGGGCGCATTGAAGAGACCACAACTCTGCCTTGTCACATAAATTTCCTGTCACTTGCTACCCTCATCTCAGTTCTCACAGAAGAAAAGAAGCTAGAGGACCTTTATTCAGTGTGGTTTTAGCAAAATACAGATGTGGTAGTTTTACTGTAAATAGCATAATGAAGGAGTTTTATGCATCAGTTTTTGGCTGCATTTTGGTTTTGGGGCTGCCTCTCAATGCTGTGTCCCTGTGGATTCTACTCTGCTACCACGGCCTGAAGTCGCCTAATGCAGTCTTCATGATCAACCTGGCAATCTCAGACCTTATGCTTGCCATCACCTTGCCTCTGAGGATCTACTTTTACGCAACAGGAACATGGCCATTGGATAAAATGAGTTGTGTTTTTATCACAATGCTGTTTCGCAACAACATCCGCTCCAGCTCCATCTTCATCACGTTCATCAGTGTGGACCGGCTGCTGGCTGTGGTTTTTCCGCTAAGGTCACGGCACATACGAACCCCATCTAACGCTGTAAAAGGAGCTGCTTTCGCTTGGCTCTGTGTTGTGTTGATGAATATCCCAGAGGGCGTCAGTTTTTCAAGATATCTGAACAGTAAGAATGAATCGACTTGTTTTGAATCTGTTTACTCTGGTGATTCAAAAAAGCTTTCACCCATTGGCTATATTCAGGCCACGCTAATCCTCGTCATGCTGGCTGTCAACATTGGATGCACTGCCAAGGTATTTTGGACCCTTTGCCATCAACTCAGTGACTCTATGAATGTGAACAGCAAGATGAAGGTGATGGTGCTTTTTGTTCTGAACTTGGTCATGTTTATCATATGCTTTGCGCCCGTGTCAGTCATCCCATTAATACAACTTACTAATTCTGATATCACACCTGTGGTATGTCTCGCTACTGTGAACTGCTGCTTGGATCCACTGTGTTATTACTTCTCCCTTGATGCCTTCTGGAAGAAAAGTGAGCAAGATGACGTGAAAATAGAAATTAGGACACATGAAACGGAGTGAGGTTCATCATGCTTTACCTTTTTTGTTGTTTTTGCTGAGTGTTTGTTGGGACTATTTGTTTTCTTTTATATAACCTTTTGTTTGTTTGTTTTTTCCTCTCTGAAAGTAAGACCCAAATAGAGCTGCGCTTTTAGAGATGTGTTTTACGTTATAGCAGCAGAGCCGTAATGTAGCTTTCTTGGATGATGTCAGATTTAAGCCAGTCTGCAAAACCATTACAGAACTTGTAGTTTCCTTCCAGTTGGTTTTTGTTTTGGTTTGTAAATCAATGTCTAGACTCTCAAAACTCACCAGCTTTTGAGGGGCTAGACCCGTTTTAATAATAACTCAGAATTCATGAAAATTACACTGGTCAAATGTTTACCAATATAGACAATTCAAATACCAAATAAATTTTATGGACATAGCCAGAACCAAAGCACAATTAACACAGATATAGCAGCATGTCAAAATGTAAACTTGACAAAGCAACAACAACAAGCAAGCATGTCTTTATTACTGCTGTTTGAAAAATACCTATTATTTTTGAGAATAAAAAAAACTACTTTGAGTAATGTTTGAAATGATCCAGTTCGGGCTGTGTTTAATACTTACCCAATTATTAAATGTATATATTCAGAAACTAGAAGGTGTTAGCTTTCAAATAATGTATCACACGTGTAATTTGGGCTTACAGTTACAAAGTTATTTGCTTTTCCTTTTGGGTATGCGAAATAGGTGAGAATTTCCCAAAATGAGGTGGATGTGACATGAAAATGAAAATAAGACCTAAACAACCAGTTAAATAAACCACTCTTTCTACAAAGAAAATTACATTATTACAGATTAACATGATGTCAGTAGCAGATGGTAAAGTTTTGAATGACATAAATGTGCTACCAGTCTCAACTCAGTTGTTCTTATCTTGATCATCTTACCAGACCTTCGCTCTAGTTCAGTCTTAATCCCACAAAAACCCTACATAAACCAACAGAGCAAAACTGACACAGATATTTTATTTTCTGCAAAATGCAGCTTGATTCTTTGATTAGGTTGAGTCCCATTAGATTTAAGAAATGAGTGTAATGCCAGAACCACCCTCTAGATTAAGGGGCAACAGTGTATGCCCACCCACAGCAGACTGTAAGAATACTTTATTTTTTATTTTTTTTTTTTTACAGATTTGAAACAATCCAAAACAAATGGTTACAAGCTTAGCAGAATGCACCACTGGATCTCGGAACAAATGTTGGTTAGTTGGTTTCAACACGGTGAGAGAAAACAGAAAAATAACATCCGCACTTGCTGCAAACCATCAAGTAAAGGAAAGTAAAGTAAAGTTCAAGCTAAATCTGTTGTAATCAGATGCAAGAAAGAAGCTTTAGAGAGTCTAAGAATGATAAAATATGGGTGGATTAAATATTATTCATAGGTGGGTCCATGCATATCCTTCTGAGAAAGAGGTGGCACTAATAAGCTGTAGGAAAGCTAACGGATACGAAGCTGATCGTTTGGAAAATGTTCTGCTGAGAAACGTTTGATCCCATTATTTGAAAGACTACTTTGACAGATTCAATCAGCATAAATGATAACGGTTTAGCAAGTACACTGCTTTATAGAAACAACATTTTATTACATTAACGCGCAGCCTACTATGTATATACTGTGTATATGACTATAGATTCTGTATTCTGTATATATATCTAATGGTCTGCACCATCAACACCAAATCAAATTCCTTGTAAGTGCAAACCTACTTAGCAATAAACCTGATCCTGCTTCTGATTATGGCCTAATCACAAACAATAGAATTATCACAAACAATAGAATTAAGGTCTGTCACATTGGACACCATATTCTTCATATAATCAACACAAAAAAAGGGATTTTTGAGTCGCCACCCTGCAGAGAAAGCTCATTTCAGCCGCTTGTATCCGGGATTTCGTTCTTTTGGTCATGATCCAGATTTCATGACCATAGGTGAGGCTAGGAACGTAGACCGAACGGTAAATTGAGAGCTTTGCCTTTTCGCTCAGCTCCCTCTTCACCACGACAGACCGGTGCAGCGTCCAAATTATTGCAGCAGCCGCACCGATCCGTCTGTCGATCTCCCGCTCCATTCTTCCCTCACTTGTTAACAGGACCCCAAGATACTTGAACTCCTCCACTTGAGGCAAGGACTCTCCTCCAACCTGAAGGATGCAGAATTGTTAATATAATCAATAGGCATTGAACTAGAACTCGTCCCTGTTCCTATAGAGAGCAGACTCATCCCATAATTACTTCAGGGAGAACTGAAAATATAGATAAGAAAAATATTATTCTTAATGATTGCTTAATATTCATATGTCTGGATGAAAAATGTAACAGTCATATAGTTTGAATCACCACTTTCTCAGCTTCTATGAGGCATAAAAACTATTGAGCAAACACAAATGTTTTAAGCCAGTATAGCAAGTTTAAAGATGGTAGTTTAAGGTGAGCACATCTGAGGACATCTCCAGCTCGTAGACAAACAGAAATGCATCTCATCAAGATGAAATTAGGAAACTGGTACATTAATGATTTGAGTACATTGATAGTTTTATTCATAGAAAACTAGAACTGTTACCAGGGCTTTCATATTCTGTGGGGCCTATATACCTCTGCTGCCCCCTAATGGGAGAGTGAGATGAGGAAAAGAAAAAACAGAAAAGTAAATTAAACTATTTATCCAAAATTTAGCCTATACCCTTGGCTGTCGGGGGCAACAATGTCCCCCCACTTCTTCAAAAAAGTGCATCAAATACTCATTCTGTCTAAAAGAATTAGTTTTTAACATGGATAAAAAAAAAAAAGCAGCAGTCAAGCCTACAGGTAAAGCATGATATGTATTTATAACTGACATCTGACTGCATCAGGGGTCTGTGCATCTCAAAGAAGCAGGTTAATTTCTCCCACTAATAGGCTCTATGCACAGCTCCACTACTTCCTTAACTTCAGCAGCTCCTTTGTTTCCCCGTGTTGGCGACAGTCAAAACAACTAAGTCGCCGAGCGGCTGATTAGGGGAATCCTTGTTGACGCGCTCAAAAAGGTTCAGTCCAATATGCTGTTCAGATCCTTTTATTGATCTTCAAAAAAACATGCAGGCAGCATACAAACAAATCCACAGGTTGGAGCCGTGATCAGGCGCAACCATAATCTCCAAAACTTAAAGCGGTCAGCAAAATGTAGACATCCCCCATCACCCACTCTCTGACACAAACACCAGGTGAACAGAACAGGTGATTTTACCAATCACCGCTGACACCACGTGATCAAAGCTATGCCCATTCACCACATTCCGGCCCCTAATTATTACTTCACTACAAGGTAATAATTACACATCCAACACACATATGCTGAGATATACATTATATCAGAACACTGAATGAGACATTGTACGTTCAAAGAGTCCATAGACGTCATTTCCTCCTTTCTTCTTTTGTCCATATAGAGTAGTCAGTCAGTCATAGGCCAGAGGTTACCAGCACTTAGCCTTATAGTCAGTCTGTGATGTACATCAAGTAGTATTAAGGTCAAGTCAAAGAGTCAAGTCAAACTAGGTACAAAAGTGTCTTCATTGGTCGGAACTTTCCTGAAGAAGGCATATCTTTGTGATAGGTCTGCATAGATGGCTGGTTGGAGTCTTAATCCAGACCTGGCGTACAAGCCCCCTTTTGTCTGGTATAGTTTCTGTGATTCTGCCAATGATCCAAGAACCACGAGGTGAAGAGTCGTCCACTATAAGGACCACGTCTCCAGGAACAAAGTTGCGTTTCATTTCCATCCATTTTTGGCGTTGTTGAAGCAGTGGCAAATATTCTTTAATCCATCGTTTCCAAAACAGATCAGATATGTATTGGACTTGTCTCCATCGTTTGCGTGCATAAAGGTCACCTTTCTGGAATAAACCAGGTGGTAAGCATGGGTTAGACTTGAGCAGAAGGAGATGGTTCGGTGTTAGAGCTTCCAGATCATTTGGATCAGTAGATTCCAATGTAATAGGTCTACCATTGAGGATCGATTCCACTTCACAGAGAGTAGTTTGAAGTCCTTCCTCGTCCAAATGCTGTGTCTGCAGGGTGGAATTAAGGACCTTTCTGATGGAACGAATCAATCTCTCCCATGCCCCACAATGGTGCGATCCAGCTGGAGGATTGAAGATCCATTTCACTCCCTTCAACAACAGTGTATCAGAGATCTTTTCCTGATTCCACTTTTCTATGGCTTGTCTCAGCTCGCGCTCTGCACCAACAAAGTTGGTCCCATTATCAGATCGCAGCTCTTGAACTTGACCTCGCCTTGCAATAAAACGGCGTAAGGCGTTAATGAAAGAGTCTGTGTCAAGAGATGAGGCGACCTCAATATGCACAGCTCTAACTGCTAAACACGTGAAGAGAACTCCATACCTCTTCACAAGACTTCTCCCACGCTTGACTTCGAATGGACCAAAATAATCTACTCCAACAAAACTAAAAGGGGGTTTCTCAGGGGTTACTCTGCTGTCAGGTAAGTCGGCCATTTGCTGCTGGCCTGTAGCTCCATGGAGCCGTCTGCAGGTCACACACCTCGACAGAATGGTTCTAATCAATGCTCCAGCACCAGGAATCCAATATTTCTGATGCAGCTTTGAGAGTATGTAGTTCCTACCCCCATGACCCACACTTTTATGGATATGCTGAAGAATGAGATCAGCAATGTGAAGGTCCTTAGGAATTATGATAGGATGTTTGGAATCTTCAGACATGACAGCCTTGCTGAGACGTCCTCCAACACGCAGCACATTATCCTCCAGAACAGGATTCAACTTGTATATGTGACTGCTTCGCTTCACGCTCTCTCCCTTTTGGAGACAGGAGATCTCTTCGGCATATCTTTTCCTTTGACAAAACTTAATTATTTGCATCTCAGCATCCTTAATCTCTCCCAATGAGAGAAAGTTATTACAGAACTCAACCCTAGGATGAGCACTTTTAGACTGAGTTGTATTAGATGCAGTCTGGAAATGTGTCTTGTTCTTTTTGCAACGTAAGAGCAATGTTTTGAACCGCAAAATCCAACTCATCACCCTGATAAGACGAGTCCAGGATGAGGTATGATGAATCAAGGAATCCAAAGGATGATCATGATCATGTGTAGGTGAGACAACCACAGAGGCACACATCTTGACTTCCTGGTCTTCATATGAAAGTTCCTGCAAGTTATCTGGGTTAACAGGCCAATCTGTCTCTGGCTGTGTAAGAAATGCAGGACCAGATAACCATTTAGTGTCACGCAGAAAAGGTT